GCCAGAGGCCTAAGGCCATATTGCATGTGAATGGAATAGTTTAGATAAGTAAGAGAAATATTTAATTTGAATTTTAAGAATGTGTCTAGGATCTGGCTCTACTAAGATGATACTGATTTCTTTTAACTATTGTTATTGATATAATTGTGGTAGAAATTATTATTGGGAAGTATAATAGAGTGTTTTTAAGCCAACTACCTTCAGCCATTAAATCAGATCTTGAAAGGGGTGTAGGACAGGCCTCTGAAAAGACAAGCCCTACCCAGTCCCTTGAGTCCTCCGGACATTTGCATTTGAAGATACTTGTCTAGAATGCTGTTGCCAGACTGAGGAGAAAGAAAGGAGCGATTTGGGTTCTTTGAATTTTGAACTAGTGGTTTGTGCCTGAAGCTGGAAAAATCTGGAGCCATGAAGAAGCTCTCCTATCTAAGACTGCGTGTTAAAGGAAGCCCGAGGGCTCGCTAGGTGGCCACCTGGATCCACTTATTCAGTGGACGTGGGAGAAATTCAGCATAGAGAGACTGGTTGAGCCTGGCCGCTGACACCCGTGGACCTGGTTCACAGGGCCTAGAGGATAATAGGAGAACAGGTTGACTGGTCTGAAGTTTGAAGGGTGGTGTGGAATTTGAGCCTATGGCATGACCTAGCCCAAGGGGGCTAGGGTTGTTGAATTTGTGACAGTGCCCCCTTGGTTAAAAAGTGAGGAAGCCAATGGGCACTATGGTGAGGCTCAGTGAGGCGGCCCACATTGAGTTGACCAGAACCCCACAGATGAAGATGAGATTTTTGAGCCCGTAAATGGGTACATATTGCTGCTGATTTTATGGATGTCCTGTCCTGATTTGACCTTGCTTACTCACAAGGATGCGGACTCACAAGATTCCAACCATAATGAAGATTCTTCACATCAAAGAATATGCGTGTCTTCTCAGAGCACTGGGTTGGTATAATCGGGCAGTATAGAAATTGGACACCCAAAGTGGGGAGTATGAAGGCATGAAGTGGCTAGCTTACAAACTTTCATGGGTGGGGGAATATGCTCATAGGGTTGTAGAATTATGGTGTAGGTATTCACTTAACTGCAATTGCTAGGCATACAATGTTGTGTTCACTTACAGAATATTATGTTTAAATAAGGCTGGCAAATTTTGAGTTATATGCATTTTAGTTTTATCCTGTTGGGTACAAATATGATTTTATTACTGTTTTGCTTTAAAAATTATGTATGGCTACAGAGTTGTGTAAAGATGTCAAGTTGACAAGGGATGGTCTGTGGTAGTTACATAATCTCATGTCAACATGAATGTATAAGAACGAAGGGGTGGAGTTTACCCTGTCAATTAGGTCCTGGTAGGCGTGGCCTTCTCATAAGGAAGATCCTAGGAACCTCCCTCTCTCTGCCTTCACCTTCCTGTTGATGAGTTACACAGAGACTTGCTGAGACCTGCAAGACCTCCTCTCTCTGCCTCACCTTCCTGTTGGCAAGCCATGTGCTGAGACCTGCCAGAGCCCTGGAGATGCATCCACCACCTTGGATCCACAAGATTTTATATCCACCAGCCTGTCACCTTCCTGCAGTGTGCAACATTGCATGTGGCTGCATGAGTCTGAAAGGGGACTTATGAACCAGTACTGGATTAATGGACTCCAGTTGGACTGGGCTGGCATGTTTGCTTAATATATAATTAGTTCTTGATATAAAGCTCTCTCTCTTACACATATACGAGTGTCACTGGACCTGGCCTAAGACAGCACCTAGCAGCGATAACAAGGCAGCAGCCCCTGCAGGAAGAGTGGCACTTAGGCTGTCAGCGGGGACAACTCCATTTGAGATGGCCATTTTCATGATTTACTGGAGGAGCCCCACAAGCTCAAAGGCCAGCCCTCCCTAGGGGAGCCAGGCGAAGGGCCGAAAGGAAGGGTTGGTGCCCTTGTTAGCCACTGGCCCTGCCATTGGCATGCCCTCAGGACTTGTTCCCCAGTGGCGTATGCAGGCTGAGCCCTTGGCCGGGGTTTGCAGAAGCCAGGTGGGAAGGCACTGCGTGCACCCCAGATCAGAAAGGCTCCAGGCAGGGACCCATGGCCTAAAATGGCACAGGTGCCCCTATGGCCAGGCCTGGGCACCCCCCAACCCCACCCCTGCTCCACACACACAAAACGCCAGCACCATGGACTGGGTTCTGACTCATCACCACCCTGGAAAAGAGGCGACCGCCCCTCCCCTCGGGGTTTCTGAGGCGGTGACTTCTGTGGGAGCAGACCACCTGGCCTTTCCCCGGGGAGCTGCGGACGGGTTTGCATTGCTGCCCCGGTGCCAGCAGCCCAGCACGGGAGCCCCTACCCCCTCCCATGGCCACGAAGTGGATTCTGACTCAGTGACCTTGAATCTGTAAGGGATTAGGGGGAACAGTCAGCCTGGTACCTCCCCCTGGGAATGGCTGGTAAACTTGAACCATAACCTGCGGTCAGCAGTGTAGTGCCTAACCCACGTGCCAGCTCTCCTGTGGGCTGGGGACGCCCCAGGTGCAAATGAGCCCCTCTCAAGAAGAAAATCACCAAAGTGGCCCCCTGGGGCTACGATGTGCCCAGTTGGGGTGCTGACTGGATCTGCCGCCAAGCAGAGAAGCTGGAGAGGCAGGAGAGAGGCTGGGAGGGCGGGGCGCCTCACCTCTGTGGGGGTCTTTGGCATGGAAACCTCACCTACAGTACAGAGGAACCTCACCAGGTAGGATAGGGCAGGGCGTTACATGGGTGGGGAGGACACGGAGGGCAGGGAGTAACCTCAGTGTAGTGCTGGGGGTGTGGCTTTGTCTCTGGGAGGGTAGGGCAGGCCTCAGCTGTAGTGTCAGTGCTAGGGGCAGGGCTCAGATGGGCCCAAGGCAGGACTTTGGCCATAGGAGGGTCAGGGGTCAGGTATTAGTCTGTGGGAGGGACACAGGGGTGGTACCTTACTCCAGTGTATGTGTTGGGGTGGGGCTCCAGCTGTGGGTGGGGATAGGTGGGGCTCCAGCTGTGGGAGGGGCTGGGGCAGGCCTTACCTGCAGTGCACGGTGATGGGGTGGTTGCCCGTCTGCTGCTGCTGCTTCTGCACGGCTGCAATGAGGTCAATCATGCCCTTGCCCTCTGCGGGGATGCCCACCTCCGGCCAGCCGTGGAAGTGGAACTGACGGACCATGCGGCTCTGCTCCTCCTGCCTGGCCAGCGGCTGTGGGGCAAGTGGTGTCCAGTGTCGGTGGCCGTTCCTGGCCCAGCCTGGCCCACCTCCCCCTAGACTGAGCTGTGCCCTCACTGGCCACCCTAGGCCCTGGGCAGGTTGGCTTTGCTGGCCCACCCTGAGTATTGGCAGTGACAGGGACAGCAATGGCCCTGCCTGCCTGCCTATGGGGTGGGAGGGACCCAGGACCCCACTGACTGACTGAGGCTCAGAGTGAGTGGTCGCTCAGTCAGCTGCCTGGCCAGCTAGCTATGGGGAGAGTGGGTTGTGCAGACCTCCCTGGGTTAGGAACCTCAGACTCAGGAGATTTGAATGACCAAACCCACCCCTACCTGCAACAGTGTCCTTCCTTACAATCACCTTCTTCAGACCACCAAACCCAACCCAACCAAACCAAACCCACTACCATGGAGCCGAGTCCCCTCCCCATCCCTAGAGACCTAGGAGAACTTCTCCCGAGTGTTGCAGGGATTATATACATCTTTCCAGACAGCTCCTCTTTTTATCTCTGGAGCTGGACACAAACTAAATACGAACTCTATGGACCTGCCCCAGTGATCCTACACATTCAACCTGGAGCTGCCGGCAGGACCGATTTTGGAGAGGGGTGGGGGTGGGGCACAGACTCAGGCCCAGGGCCTCTTCCTCAGTGCTGACCCTGGCAGCTGCTCCCCAGCCAGCTTGGTGTGACCAGCTGGGGCTTTGAGAAGGTACCCAGGTACCTGAACTCCCATTCACACCCCACACCCCCAATGCACCCAGCCAACTGCATTTCTCCAAGGAGGCAATGGGGCCAGAGAAGCCCAGTGAGGGCCTCTCGGGGTGTCCCTTCTGCCCCAGCCAGGAGCCAGGTGAAGATGGGGCTGTAACTTCATAGGGACCTGCTCTTGGCAGTGCCACTCCGTACTGAACACAGCGACCCCTTGTGATGAAGCGGAAGGGCACAGCAGGCCCTGAAGCAATGGTGACCACCGCAGCTGGTTCATCTAGGAGGGCAGAAGGTGCCCAGACAACAAGCAAACATTACCTGGCTGAAGGTGACCAGGAAGTCCCTCACACTGATGGCTTCAGACAGGGTGTCACTCTTTAGCTCAATGGTGATCTCGCCGTGAGTCACAGCGCCCTCTGCTGGCCAGTACTGGTAGCACTTGTCCTTGGGGGCAAAAAAAAAAAAAAAGAATTTTAAGTCCCTTGTCCAAAAAAAAAAATTCGAGTGGGCCACCTTGGAGTCCTCAATGCAGAAATGCTCTCCTGCACCTGGCACATTTCATCTGACCAAGGAAATGGCCTGTGGACACAAAGGTGAGGCCCCATCACGCCTGTTGACCATGGGTCAGGGCATGTGTGTCCACTGAGCACTGCTGCACGCAGTTTCATATCCCAGAGGAGAGACTGCTGAGTACATAAACCAGACTCACTGTCATCGAGCCGTTCCACTCCTCCCGCCCTATGGAGCAGGGTCGAACTGCCCCTGGGGGCTCCCAAGATTGCGGGTCCCAATGCCCACAGGCTAGGCTTCAGGATAGAAGTATCTCAGAGCATGAGTCTGAGTGATAAAAGGAAGTCCCGCAAAACTCTGTGCTTTGATGAGACCCTTTATAGAACGTCCAAAACCAAGCAAAAATGAAGGGATCTTTTCTCTAGGCACACACACACACACCACTCTACAAGATACACAGATTTAAAGAAGGAAATACCACATCTTTTACGAAGGCAGTAATCAAACAAACAGATAAGGAAGTGCTAACAGATAAAGGGAGAGGACTCGGAGAGATCGGCCCCTGTGTGTGTGTGTGTGTGTGTGTGTGTGTGTGTGTGTGTGTGTAAAGGTGCAGAAAACATGCGAGGGCTCCTCCTTGTTAATCACAGTCTCCACAGGGCCCAGCATTTGTTCTTGAGAGATAGTCCCAAGAACAAGGAGAACATACAGAACCTTGTACCTGAGTAATCTCTCTCTCTCTCTCTCTCTCTCTCTCTCTCTCTCTCTCTCTCTCTCTCTCTCCCTCTGCCACCGAGTCTATTCAAGCTCATAGTGACCTTGCAGGACAGGGTCAAACTGCCCTTGTGAGTCTGAGACCATAACTCTTTACAGAAGTAGGAAGCCCCATCTTTCTCCCTAACGAGTCACCCCAGCAGTCCTAATGGAGCACATTAACCAGGGCCTATGGTTTTCTGACTTGAGAAAACCAAGGGTGGGTGGAGGAAATGTCTTCTTCAGCAAGTGGTAATCTTGGTGAATACAGACTGGCAGATTTAAAAATCCCCAACCAAACCCAGTGCTGTTGGGTGGGTTCTGACTCCTAGTGACCCGACGGGGCAGAGTGGAGCTGCGCCTGTGGTGCCAAGGCCATCATCCCTATGGATGGGCTTTGGGCTCCTAACAGCACGGTCATTTGTTCAGCCCACTCACTGATCTGCGGGAGCAAGACCGGCTGTCTGCTCCAGTAAAGGTTTATAGCCTCAGAAAGCCCAGAAGGTCGCTGTGGGTGGGAGTCCAAACAGTGGCAATGGGCTTGCTTGACTGGCATCTTCGTGGAAACAGATGCCACGTCCTTCCCTGAGGATACACTGCTGGCCCAATCCACTGACCTTTCTGCCAACAGCTGAGCACTTAACCACTGCACCACCACAAGGACACGGGCAGGCCTCAACAAAACCTAACTCAAGTGCAAAAGCCAATGGGAAGTTGGGGCTCAAGCCTTTCGGGGCCCACCCCTCTCCCAGAAGCTGCTCCCCAGGAGTCGGACATGCAGGCACACAGTGCACACACTTGCATGCACACGCACCCTCAAGCCACTCACACACACTCGCACACAAGCAGCACACGCACACATGCACGCGCATGCACACACACACTGACACATGCACACCCCGCTGGGAGGCAGGCTGCTGCCAGTGGCAGCCTTGAGCCGGCGGCGGCGGCATCCCCTGGCAGTACCCTGACCTGCTCGCGCTCCTGGACCTCTGTCAGCATCACCACGGTGTGGCACCTCCACTCCCAGAGCATCCTCCAGAAATCCTGCACGGTGTGTGCCAGTGGGCCCTGCGTGGCAATGAAGTAGTCCTTCTGCCGGTAGCCCTGCGGTGGGGGCAGAGGGTCAGGGCTGGGTCTACTGGGGAGCTCTGTGAGCACAACCCACCCCAGCCAGACACAAGCTGACTTCCAGGACTAAGTCACTCAGGAATGCTCCCCTGGATCTAAGAGCTGAGTCTCCCCATCCACACTCACTCCCCAGAGCTGAAATCACCCCGTCTACACCCACTTCACAGAGCCCAGGGTACCCCATCCACACCTGCTCCCCAGAGCCCAGGGCACCCCGTCCACACCTGCTCCCCAGAGCCCAGGGCACCTGAGACAAGTGCCGGGCACCCAGCGAAGGGGAGGCCAACAGCTGTGGGGTCTGATCAGAGCTTCGTCTGTGCACTACAACCAAACTAGCCACCCGGTGTGGGGCCAAGAGGCCTGGGTGCTAGAGGTTGTGTGTTCAAGGTCAGCTTCCACAGCCCCTGAGACCTTTGCCCATGTTCTCATATCCCTGCAGAAACGAGGTCCCAGGCTGTCTGCCTGCCTTTGCTGTCCACGCCCTGCATGGAGACAGCAACGGGTGGGGGAGCGGGATTGCTGTCTGCCTGGACCAGCAGGCAGACCCGGTGCGTACCCGGCGCCAGTACACCTCTGACTCAGAATGAAAAGCCAGCAATCCCTGGAGCACTCAGGCGCTATCCTTCTGTCTCCAAAGCACACACACCCCCCTGCCCCTTCAGGCTGTTTTAAGGATGATGAATTGTGCTCATCAAGTGGTTTGGATTTCAAGAGGCAATCAGTTCTCCCGGGCCGTGAGATGACCGGTGTCTGTGGCCCGTACACCCCAGCAAAGCATGACCGTGCCGTGCACACCCGGGCCGCGTACACCCGGGCCACACGTACATCGATAAAGGACGCATTGATGTAGTCCGTGTACTCCTGGCCCCGCTTCATGGAGAGGATCACGCGGTTGAAGTCGTCTGCGAAAGAGGGGTTTTGTGGCGTTAGCACCCACTGCTCCCAGCACTGTATTCTCGGGGCTGGCCCCATGTGGAGGTGCTGCGGGGCCTGGGCGGGCAGGGCTTACACGGAATGATCTGGATGACCCGGGCTTTCTTCATGTTGGCGGGCAGATTGCCGGTCCTCATGTCCTCCTTCATGATGCGGACATTGGTCAGCTTCTGCGGATCAAACACAGCACCGAGTACGTCAGTCCCTGACATTGCTGGGCGAGCGTCTCTGTCACAGGGCATCACGGGGACCCTGGCACGAGGGCAAGCACAGCCACTTGCTGTGTTGCCCAGGGAGCCAGGTCATGCTTGGCTTCCCACACACTGAAGCTCCGTGGCCACTCTGTGTCCGGCAAGTGGGGCACTGTTTTCCCAACAGCCTGTGCTCATGTTGTGCCTGTGTCCCATGCTGGTCACTCTTCAGCGACCTCAAACCCTTCATCCTGCCCATGCCCCCCACAGACAGCAGCAGGGCTCACACATCACGTCCTCCATCCTAGAAGGACACCTAAGGGCAGAAAACATCTGCCCCCTCCAGCCACGCCCACCCCTGCCCTGGCAAGGAGAAGGCAGGCTTCCTTGGGGAGCCCCCAGGTCCTGCTCCCGGGGCCCGGCCTGGTCTGGTCAAAGAAGAAAGAAGCACTGGGCTGGGCTTTCACTTCAGGCTCGCCCCACCCCTTGGCACCTACCCGGAACTCCTCCTCCAGCCCGACCTTGGCAAACTGGCCCGTGGAGCTGTGCAGCGTCTGTAGGTGCCTTTCCAGGGAAGACACATCCAGCTCCGTGTCCCCGTACAGGTAGTACTCGAGCAGGGCTTGGTAGATGAACGTGTACTGCATCTGCGGGCCCAAGGAAGACTGACCTCGATGCTGCCCAGTGACCTCGGCCCCCAAGGGCCCCCAAGATGGAGGTCATGCCATTTCTCCTGTCTCCCGGTGGCATGTGGGTAAGGTGTTGGCTGATATCTGGAGCCTCCCTGTGCTCCATGGGAGAAAGCTGAGACTGTCTGTTGCCCTAGGTGTGTGCAGCCTCAGAAGACCTGGGCAGTTCTCCCCTGTCCTCCACAGTACCTCCCATCCCCCACTGTGAGTACAGCCATGCTCTTGGAGTACTCCTCCCTGCCTCCCGGAGCCAGCATTCCCTGCTGTTTCCCAGGAGAACACACAGACACCGGGGTGAGGGAGGTGCCCACGGCCCAGCGGGCAGGGGAGTCAGGGGTCCTCCCCTACTGTGTCCCTGGACAGGTGTAGCCACCATCAGACAGTGGCACCCACAGTGGCTGAGTGGAGCGGGCAGTGAGCTGTAGCCACTGGTTAGCCTTTGAGCATTGTCCAGTGACAGCGTTGGGGGCAAGTTAGCCTATGATTGTGGGTGCAGGTACTGGGCCAGCTGATAGTTGCGGGGTTCAGGGCATTGCTTAACCTATAGGTTCCCTAACTTATTTGGCCTACCGCCCCCTTTTCAGAAGACAGCTACTCAGTGTCCCCCTATAGCAGTGGGGTCCAGGGCACTGGGCTATTCTCTGGCCATGGGATGGTACCCGGGCCCCAGGTTTCCTTTGTGGAGGCCAAACACTAGCAGGGCTGGGCCAGGGCCACTGCTACTCACATCTGTCTGCACCATCTGGGGACGCTGGTTACGGATCTTGGAGACGAACTCGAAGACATCGACCTTTTGCTCTGCGAACATCATGTCCATCATGGCGTCGATCACAATGAAGGTGCCCGTCCGGCCCACGCCCGCACTGGGGGAAGGGAGCACCGCGTCGTGAGTCACAGAGCCCCGTGAAGGACCCTCAGACCTGGACAGGGGGCAAGCTGTGCCCAGGGAGGCTCACCCTCCTGAGAGCGACTGCCTGCGCGTCCCTGCGTGGCCAGCAGGGGCGCTGCGGCCCAAGCACCGTCTCTCCAGTGGTCCATCAACTGAACCAACTCCCAGCGGTCGTCGATGGACTCATGGGGGCCTGGAGGACAGGGTGGAACTGCTCTGTGCATTTCCGAGACGGTAAGTCTTTGTGGGAGTAGAAAGCCTCGTCTTGCTCCCTCGAAGCGGCTGGTGGATCCCACCTGCTGGCCTTGCGTGTAGCCACTGAGCCACCAAGGCTCTGGGGCCGGAGAGGCCATACAGAAGCAGCAGGGACTGCGTCTGGGTGGCTCTCCCTCTCACTGAGGCCGTCCTTGCTGGTCACCTGTGCAGGTGCAGTGTGTTTCCGGAGTTCTTCCCCCAGGGAGTACCGGGCTGCTGCAACCACAGAGTGGGTGGTTCAAACCCACCAGCCGCTCCACAGGAGAAAGATGAGGCTTTTTACTCCCACAAAGAGTGACCGTCTGGGAAGCCCACAGGGGGCCGTACTACCCTGTCCGACACGGTCGCTCGAGTCTGCATGGGCTTGATGGCATTTGGGTTTTCTTGTCACCATGTGGGCCTGCTGTGAGCTGGAACAAGCATCACACTGAGGGATTGGTGTGGCCTCCATCAGCCTGGCTCGGCCCAGGCATCTGCCCGCTCTGAGCATCACTGTCCAGCCCCAGAGCTGCCCCTCATGCCGGCTCTGGCTTCGGCCTCCTCAGACAGAGAAGGAAGTTCTTGTTGAGGTCTCCCCAGTGCCCAGGACAGGGCACCCAGAAGATGCTCAGCCCACGTGTGAGATGTTACTTGGACTCTGTCTCTTGAGACGACCCCATGTATGTTGCCAGCGACCACGGGGTGCTCCACACGGGCTGAGGGGCTGGCTTTCCTAACCAGATCACCAGGCCTTTCTTCCAAGGTCCCTCAGGGTGGACTTCAACCTCCACTGCTCAGTCACGAGGTGAGTGCGCCAACCATCTGCCTCCCATTCTGGTGTCCCCTCTGAGAACCCAGCAAGTGCCAGTCTCACCACCCAGTCCTGTTGACCATGGCCAATGTCACAGGGGCTTGGGGGGTGCGGGCTGTGGTGGGGGACATGGTCAGCACCTTCAGGTCCTAACTGGGCATCCATCAGGGGGACAAAGTGCCCAAGCCAGTCAGCGGCCAGAGTGTGGGGCCTTTCCAAGCGGAGACATCGGGCTGTCCAGGGATCGGAGTGCCGAGGTCGGCGCCTGCTCTCCCCAGCCCACTGAAGACAAACCCCTGTGACAAGTAAGTCAGTAGGTTCAGGGGGGCAGAGCGGAGTGGGGAGGTGTCCTGGGAGAAGCGGTCGTTTGGGGAGCCTGCTTTTACAGTGAGACATCCTCACTCTGGTGGCCATGGTGGGGATGGTGACAGCAATAGAGACAGTCGCCATGGTGGCCGTGTGGCTGTGCTGGCAGCAGCAGCTGTGGTGGTGGCACTCCTTATGGCCATATTGACCGTGGTGGACACAGAGCCGTAGGAGGTAAAGTGTCACCAAGGAGCCACTAGGGCTGCCTAGGGGCTGCAGGACAAGCCAATCGTGGGGTCTGCTCCTGGCTCAGGCTCTGTACAGCCTGTCCCTCAGCTGTTGGGGTCCATGGGCTCTGCTATGAGGACTCTGGGCACCTGTCAGAACTGGCCTCCATCTATGTCCCGGTGAGCTTGGGCGTCCCTATGGGAGGAGGAGGCTATGTGGACACGTGAGCCCCAGCCACCGTCAACCTGGGCCGGCGCTGCCTCTACACGCAGGCCCCTCAGAGGGCTCCACCTCACATCTGTTACGTCCCGGGGTCCCCCGCACCGCCGCGAGGTGGGAGAGGCTCTCACACCCTCCTGCACCCCCTCCCTCCGTGGCCCGCCGGCTCAGCAGCCACCTTGCGCACCTGCAGTGCACGACGATGGGCCCGGCGTGCGAGGGGTTGAGCGTCCTCACTTTCTTCAGGAACTTCAGCATCCCGATGGGCGTAAAGGGCACCCCGAAGTCCGGCCAGCTGGTGAAGTGCAGCTGAGAGACCAGCCGGGGAGCCTTGCAGCTGTCAGGGAGCTGCAGGGATGGAGCATCACGAGTGGGTGCCAGGCGCCTGCCCCGCCCCGCCCCGCACCTGCCCCGCCCCATCTGCCCTGCCCTGCTGGTGACCGTCCCGCCCCAGCAGCCACTCTGACGGAGCGCCTATGCCTCAGGACCCCTGGACTGGGGACCCTCCTGAGATGAGGGGCAGAAAAGCAGGACCACTCTCCCTGGGGGAGGCCGTTGCACCCCCTCCCAGGGATGGGCTTGAGGCGGCATCTCCCCTCACTCTCAGGGAGAGCTGTGCTGTATGAGGTAATGATGGGGTTGGCGGCTTGTAGGAAACCCCGGGTGCCTGCCTCAGAGCTGTTTCTGAGCACCACAGCATTTGCGTGCCCACATGCATGTCTAGGGGCAGGCGAGGAGTGACCCAGTGCGTCCCCTCCCCCTTTGTGCTCCGGCTCCCAGGAGCCTCAGAGGCCAGGCTCTGCCAGTCAGTCCCAGTCAGACCCACTCTGCTGTGCGAGGGTTTCCAAATGGCTCTTACACTTTTATCTCATCTGCCTGGGATCCAGACATGTTTGCTGAAAGCCAAGACCAAATCCACTGCCATCAAGCTGATTCTGACCCATAGTGACCCTGCAGAGCAGGCAGGGCAGGTATACACCCTAGGGCTTCTGTGCTAGCAAGTCTTTCTCTCGACCCTGTGGGATCCCCAGACTGTTAATCTTGATGGGAGTGGAAAGCCTCCTCTTTCTCTCACAGAGCAGCTGGTGGTTTTGAACAGCCGACCTTTCAGTTAGCAGCCCCACACATCACCTACTACACCACCAGGCTCCTGCCCTAACTCTTTAGGGAGCAGAGAGCATCCTTTTCCTTATGAGGATCATCTGGCGGGTTTGAATTGGTGACCTCCCGGTTAGCAGCCTTGCACATAAATGAATATACCACCAAGATTTTCTATTTTTATGGAAGATAATCTTAATGGAATCCTTTTAGGGGAGCTGACAGGAAATAAATATGAAAGATCAGGAGGGAGTTTCATACCTCAGTTTGAAACTGTTAAAGATTCCTAGATTCCTGCCTCACCATTCCAGCGTGTGACAGAGGGGGGACCCTCAACCCTTGTGTGCACCAACTTGTTAGAATTTCTCCTGGCAGAGTCCAGCCGTGCCCAGAATGGCTGTCAGGGGCCAGGAGCTTCTAGAAACTTCTATCACTGTAGACTCCTGGACCTGCATCTCCATCAAACCCCGTCTACCCACTGGCCCCCCGCTGGGCCTGAGTCTCCGCCCTCCGCCCACAGTGAGAGCCCTGACACTGGGGGTGCCCGGCGCCTCACGGTAGGAATGGAAGTGCACCCGCCGCCCACCGTGCCCCATGGCGCTCCCCGAGGCGGAGCCCGAGGTGTTTACCGACTGGACGCAGAACTTCCTGACCATGTAGTCCACCAGGACCACGCAGTCCTCCACACCCACGCGGATGTTCCCATATGTCCAGCAGCCTTGGTCAGGCCAGTACTGGTGGCACTTTTCCTGTGACAGAGATACGGCGGCTGTGGAGCCATTCCATGACTATTTCCAGTAATCCAGCCCACACACAGACCCCCACCCTCACAGACAAACAGACCCCCACCTTCACAGACTCCCCCATCCTCACACAGACCTCCTACCCTCACAGACGAGCACTGCCCTCGTAAATGGACCCCTCCATCCTCACAGATGGACCCTCTGTGTGCAGCTCCGGCTGATCCGCTCCTCAGAGTCCACCAAAGTGGACGGGCACAGCAAAGGCCTCGTGGGGTCCCTGTTTTGAGGGAGTCCTGACTCTGCCCAGGCCCAGGTGACCCTGTCCTCCCTGTAAGGCTCTGGCTTTGGGGCCCCAAGGACTGTGAGGCTGGGCTGTGGCTAAGTCAGAACAGACGTCTCCCTCTGCCGGGCCTTCCCCTAGGCTTAGAACATGCTGGAAGTTTCCTGAGCACTGCCACAGCTCCCCCTCCATCTCTCATATTACAGAGTGAACTCTACCCTGAGGCATGGCCGAGCGCTCCCAGAGCTCCGTGTCGGGCACCCTGGCCACCTCGTCTAAGCTGCCCTCCCCTCCTTCTACAGCCCTGGACGTCAGGTTCCCCAGCATGTAGTCCTAGAAGCGGGAGCCAGGGAGACAGACAGGCCACCCAGACGTGGTCGCGATGCCGAGAAAGGGAACTGGAGTGGAGAAGGGGATTCCCCTGAAATGGTGGAAGTCATGAAGCAGAAGAGGGCCTACCACCCTGAGTCACCTCCGTGGGAAGACCCTGTAGGTGGCGATGAGAGAGATCCGCGGAAACGGGAGGTGACATAGCCACAGAAGACGAAGGGGCGCCTGAGCCAAGCCGGGTGTTTCCAATCATTGCACGTGTATTCGATAGGTGCAAAAGGGGTGCAGCAGAAGTGATGCCTTGGATGAGGGTACAGGCAAAGAACCTCCAGGTACCACTGAAAACAGAGCCACGTGTCTTGGGAGAAGTACAGCCAGAAGCCTCGTTGGGAGCCAGGATGGCGAGGCCTTGTCTCACACACTTTGGACATGTTGCTGGGAGAGACCAGTCCCTGGAGGAGGACATCATGCTCAGTCAAGCAGAGGATCCACAAAAATCGAGGAAGACCTCCCAGGAGATGGCCGGCCACCATGGCTGCAACAGTGGGCTCAAACATGCAGTGCCTGTGCGCGTGGCACAGACCGGCAGCACTCGGCTCTGTGGTACATCATGTCCACGTGAGCCAGAACCCACCCAATGGCACCTAAGAGCGATGGCGTCATCGCCGCAGGATGGCAGAGGGTCAGTGGCTGGACTCTCTGTGGTCCCCTCGGTGTGGCCATGGGGGCCCTGATCTCCGTGGCCATGGAGGGCTGCCCCTGCGTCTGATAGAGCATGAAGCAGGGTCACCCACGTCTGGTGTCCGCGTGCCTGCCCACACACCAGTGCGGATGCTTTTCTGAAGCACTTACAGGCATGAAGTCACAGGCCATGTGAACAGCAGATGACCCTCCGTAATGTGGGCGGGCGTGTCCGTCGCTCAGTGGTTTTGGGAGCAAAAAGGGCGTTTTCTCTGAGGGAGGAGTCTGCCTTCAGATGGTCCCCAGACATCCAGACAGGTCACCACAGTGGCATGAGTCAATGACTCAAAACCTCTCTAATGTGTGTCTGTGTGTGTGAATATATATGTCTCTATATGTTTCTCTGTGTGTATATATATGGGTGTATATATTGTGCATGGAGGCCTCTGTGTTAAACATGTGCAACTCATATGTGTGCACATATGGCTCTGCATATATTTGTGTGTGCATATATCTGTGTGTGAGTATAAATGTCTGTGTGCATATGTGCATGTGTACTTATTATTTACACATCTCTGTTCTATGTGTGTATATGTGTACATAAGCGTATGCATATGTATACATCTCTCTGTGTGCATATGTATATGGTGTGTGTGTGTCTGTGTGTGTGTGTGTGTGTGAGCCCTGATGGTGTAGTGGTTACACGATGGGCTGCTAACCATGAGATCAGCAGTTTGAAACCCCCAGCTGCTCGGCGGGAGAGAGATGAGGCCTTCTACTCCGATAAAGAGTCTCAGAAACTCACCAGGGTGGTGGCATCGACGAGACGGCACTGAGTTTGGTTTGGGTTTGGTGTATATGTGTGTGTGTATATATGTCTTCCTGTGCTATACATGTACTATACATATGCTATACATATATGGGGATGTGTATGCATATGGGCGTGTGTGTGTGTGTGTGTGTGTGTGTCTGAATGTGCATGTGGATGTGCACATGCTGCTACGTTTTCTTGGACTGACTGAGGCCCCATAGCTGGGATCCCTGGCTTCCGGCCTGCTCTCTCCTTCTGGTGACAGAGGATGATGAGTCCTAGCACAGTGACAGGGTG